TTTGGAAACATTTGTTTCCCCTTTTGTTTATATAATCAAAAACACGTGTACGTGAATCATGCTTCTCTCATTTTGAGTAGAAGGTCTAATGTACATGTATCTGAAAACATATGGACATACAGTGCCATCTTGTGGCAAAAATTATAGTTTTTAAAATGTTCCAGGACACTGGCACAAATACGTGACAGTCGGGGCTAAATGGGAAAACGCTCTGGCACACCTGCGTGTCGGGCGGGAAGTGAGTGTGTTCGTTGCTGGCACGTAGACGTGACAGTCGGCGCGAAGGGGTTAATAAATGAATATCTCTTTGTATTGAAATTGAATAAATTTAATTGACTTAGCTCATAATTCCATCCTTTTATTGCTTTCAAGAAATCTTGAGAACCACAGAAATTACTAGAAATATCCTGCAACTGATTGAAATCTATAAAAAGCCAGGTAGAGAACATCTCAGTTCAGTTGTTTAGTTAGCTACTGCTATTATTATTGGGAGTTCAATATGAAATTGCATTAGCTTTCTCTTTGCATTGCACTGTAACATTTTTATTAATTTGAAGTATAACTGCTGATTATATTGCGTGATACTGTAAAAACTTGTACGAAAATCTCTGATGAAAACTCCAGCATTCTGTTATATTTATTTTATTAAGAATAAATTTTATTAATCTTTTATCGGACTTCTGCATTCAATCTATTAAGAACCGGTACTTACACAACATTATTCAATATCTGATGACGCTAGGTACCATCATATTTTCCCAATGTAAGGAGCATACATACATTCACGTGAACTCTTCATTATTTAATTTCTTTAAAAGTAATAGATAATATTTGGTGGCAGCAATTTGAAAAATAATTCATCCCTCATAGTGAATGATGTAAAATCTAATTTCAGGACTAATAGCTGATCTGGGTTAAAAATTCATGTTCTGGATTTTTAAACTAGAAAATTAATTTTACTAAAGCTTTGAAATCTAACTTAATATGGCTCCCCAGTTTCTGTAGGTATATTTAGTAAAAGTTTACATTCATTCTAAAAAAATGAAACATAACAGGTTTAACTCATTCAACAGATATTTAAATGTCCAGTTCCAGTTGTCCAAGATATTTAATTTCAGAGCTCTTACATAAACTGAAGGGTCAACTATATAAATCTGCATGAAACTAAAAATGAAATATCAGTTACGAAAAACGTTTCTGATATAAATACATTAAATAATGAGCATTGCCTATTGTGACGATACAGCTACTAGCACCCCCGCGTGCACAGGTGCTGAATTATAACTTCCTGTTTGTTTGCGGACGAAATGGACGATACCTGCAAAAAGCAGGACTGCAGATAAAACCGTGGCCTTCGAGAAACAAGGCCCTACAGCTCAGTGACGTTGAGCGTGTGACGTCATTCCAGAGAGTGCATCCCTTCTTGGGGTGAAGAGTGCACCCCTTCGTGGGGTGAGGGCAACGCTGGGTCAAAGGTTGTCAGTCGCCATTGCTTCGAAAGAAGAGGTTGAACTGAAATTCTTGACCTAAAATCTTGAGATATTAACTGCATTCCTGATTTTTCCTGCAGCTGGATATATTAAATTTGAGGTTTTTGGCAATTTGTGAGTGGTTCCAGAAACAATATAATGCCTTACATGTGCTCAGTGCCACAATTTAACGGCAATTACAAATCTGGACCTAAAGTGCACATTTTCGCTTTTAATAATGATGCCGATCTGAAAGAAAAGTGGATCCGTGCAATAAAGCGAAAGGACTTCATTCCAACTAAAAATAGCAGGGTGAGCTTTCATTCTTATGATTTCATTGATATTCAAAGAAAAATTAAATATTTAATATGTTTAATATGTCTGTTTTTAAAGCCAAAATCATTTCCAATGAAAAACTAGTGTAGTGATAATAGTAAACAATAACTAGTGTAAAATATAAAAGTATATAATAAATCATTGCCAATGTAAATAAGCAGTATAATGAGCTTTTGTTTCCTGAAATTTGTCTTAAAGTGAATTCTATAATTTTTTTAATAAATGCATGTTGCTTCATAAATTGCATGTGAATATTTTAATGGGTAATTAAGTTCATAATACTATAGTATTATTTAATGTATAATAAATTTTACTGCGGATTAAATATTCAGTACAAAATTCAGTGCTTAATATAAAGCAATAATCGGGAAAATATACAAAATCTGGAACTTAAAATAGCATTTGTAATATCTAATTTATCTCGACTTTTATTTTAAAACCACTTGTCATTAAGTTTTAGAGATATGAAAGTAATAATGTTTTTCATTTAAAAATTCAAATTCGTGTGCTTATAATATTTTAAGAAAACACATTACCCTTTCAACCCTTTTTTTTTGTCACATTTTCAAGTTTATCCTGAAAATTGTAATTAACATTATATCTAAAAAAAATTATTAAAAAAACTTGGAAAAAAATATTGTTAAACCAGTTGTTTATAAAACATAGAACTATTTTTTAAAAAATTTCATTTTTATAAATTTGTTATTACGTTTTTTATATTAATATTTTTGCTTTAAAATAGCGTTTTTTTGGGGGGGGATTCCTTGAAAATCTAAACAAAACTGTACTTGGAATACTGTATGCTTCTGTTACAAGATTTAATGAAACATTTTGCTGTCATGATTAGAAAAAAATATCCTCATCCTGTTGATAACGCCAAATATTTGAGATTGAAAATAAAATTCGACTTATGTCTTTGATGAAAATAAAGTTAAAAAGTAAAAAACTTGGAATTGTAGAAATTGATGATTTAAGTCTTGCAGAAAACTTTATAGAACACGAAAAAAAAAAAAATGATAACGAAATGTCTTTAAATATATTTATATCTGATGAAGACATAGCAGCAGCTGAAAGTTATTTGCCTGTGTCCGTATATTTAGGCAGGATACTGTGTTGGGAGTGTTCTTAAAAAATTACAATGCTCATTTTGTGAAGACTACCTTTCTTTAAAAAAAGAAAGAGAATTAGCATTTGATGAAAGTTTCAGTTTTTTCAAAATGTTAGACCGTGGTAAACTCTTTTATCCGTCAAAGTATGTAGTAAATGTTGTTTTCTATAATTATATCATAATTCAAAAACTGTGTTCAGATTTCGAAAAAAGAATTTTGGAATAGTTCAAGATCAACGGAAAGCAGCATTTAATGTAACATCAGAATATCTAATGAAGGAACAGTTTTTAGAAAAACAAGATTGTTGTGAAAATGGGCATATGTTTGAAAAAGCTCTAAAAATGATAATTTGATCATCAACAAATGCAATGCTCAATAACTATTGTAAGAAAAGAAATGATTTATTGCAACAACAGTCCGTTAAAAGAAAAGATGACAAAAATTCAAGATAACGAGCCACTAACAAAAAAAAAAAAAAAAAAAAGAAACAAACTTTACACATTAGCGCAATGATAAATTTTGGAAAGAGCTATAAAATATATGGTGTTTCAAATAGATGCAACAGAATAAATACTTAAAAAGATAAAATATACTGGGGGGATGAAGTGCTTGTGCAAGGGACGTCCGGTAATCCTATACTGTCATTGCACTTTCCCTGATATGATATAGGCTCTACCACGTGCACTTCGGTAACGAGATGTGGGAACCTCGGCTAACTACCTTTTATATTTTAAAATTTGCAATTCTGCAGTTTGTTTCTTTCAAAAATGTAATTAATATTTCAGAGAATTAATTCCCCCTGTAGTGTGTCCTTAAGGAATTTCAAAAAGTTCCAAAGAATCAAAACTCGCACATAGTTACAGGCACAACTTTCAATCTAGAGAGCCCAAAAATTAATTATTATTTTCATAAATTTTAATGTGGATATATCAAGATTTTGCTAAAGAGTAATTCAGATAATAGTAAGAATTCATATATCTTAATCAAAATATTATTTAATAAAGACAGCCGACAAAACTAAAGTAATTTTCTGTGAAAGTTTAAAAATAGATTTTTGGTTTTGATTCTATAATAATTCAATTTGATTCTATTCTATAAGAATATTGCTCACTGTAAGTTTAATAATTATTCTTATGAACAGGATTTTTTCAGTAACACCATTTAAAAATAATGCTGGCATTAAAAATTATCATAAAAAATTACATTCTAAATTATTTATACCAATAAATAAATGATGAACTATGCCTTTTTTAATATTTAGTTTATTGTAAAAGACCTTTTTTACACTAGATTTTGTTTTTAAAAAATAAATGTAATAACCGAAAATGCTCGTTCTTTTATCTTATCGCCATACTGACAAAATTATGTACTACTTAGAAAAGGCTGTAAAGAAAAATCGGGTTCTTTTAAAATGCTCTTTTTATTCATAGTTTTCATTTTTATCTATAAATGAAAAATAATGTGCAGTATTTTCAGTTCGAAAGCATAACATTTTTGCATTATAGTGTTTAAGTGTTGAAAAGTTTATCCAAACTATAGAAAGTAAAATGGGATTGAAATAAATAATTATTGATCACCCAGATGAAAATTTTTATCAAGCGTTAAGAAAAATAAGCTCAGATACCTGAAGTCTTCAAGCATGATATTTAATTAAATGCTAAGATAGTATCACTTATTTAATAATTTCCTGTTTACTTTACATCGGAATAACATAAAATTAGCTTTTACTAATAAATAAACGCGTTGTGGAATCGCTAGCTTTCAGTGGAGAAGAAAGGTTTCTTCGCACTCCATACGGTGACGTCACGAGAGAGCTGGACGGCCTTGTTTCTCGAAGGCCACGATAAAACCCCCTGGGAGTTTCCAGACACAAGGAACTAATTATGTTTCTCTTCGCAGATAACAAAACGAGTGAAATCTTTGTGTAAGAGATCTTCATGTGATTTTGAGGTGACAGGACGCATCTTTTACGTTCTAAACCACGCCAGTAGTTTCCGTAGAACAATAGTTTTTTTTATGCTGTAACTACAGTAAAAAAGACACTTTTTTGCATCCAATCTGCGTTAGCGAATATTGTATGATTTAGGGCTGTAATGATCAGTTATTTTTATGTTTTAATCAAGAAATCTAGTTTAGTTTATCAAATAAATAATTTAAAAGACAACCTGTCTTTCTTTCACCCGACACGGGTATACTGACGTTACAGCTATAATAAATGGTGGCAGCGGTGGGATGAGAAAATCCATGCAGAAATTACAGACCGTCAGGCTCTAAAAATTCATCTCAAGATTGTGGGACAGTCATTGTCCGGATATCAACAGTGTTTTGCAGATATTACAGACCGTCAGGTTCTGAAGTGCAGCACGAAAAGTTACGAACATCAGTTCGAAAAAGTGATTACAGCTCTCCGAAGCGACGAGATAAGAAAATCCGTGCAGAGATTGCAGACCATCCGAGTCTGAAATTCATCTCAAGTTTGTAGGACAGCCATTGTCCGAACATCATCAAGTGTTTGCAGATAGTACAGACCGCCAGGCTCTGAAGTGCAGCACAAATTTACGAACATCCGTTCGAAAAGTGATTTACAGCTCTTCGAAGTGGGGAATAGAAGGAACGACAGTCTCCTAAAATAAGCTCATCTTTAAGCGCGGTGATAAAGGTGTTACTTGTGCGATCATCTTTGTGTTCGAGAAATTTACCGCAGTGAGCATGTGGGACAATCATTGTCCGAAGATCATCAGATCATTGTGATGTGTAGAGTATTGAAAAAGTGATATGTGGGTGATCACCCTTGTGATCGAGAAAATTTAGATCATCAGATCTTGTGTGTGTGCGTTATAGGTGCCTGGATCATCAGTGTCCATAAAATCTTAAATTGTAAGAAACGAAGTCTCCAATCCAGACGGGTAAGTACCTTGGATTTTTATATTGAGGCAGTAAAGTAATTTATTTCTGTAAATCAGTATGTAAGTTCACATAACTGTTTTAAGTCAACTTGTTCCTGTAGAGCTTAAAGAAATGTGCTTTTCAGGTTTTATGTTACAATAAGAAAGTATAAAATTTAGAATTTAAACCTGTGTTAATAGGTTTTTTTTAATATCTGAAATGTTAATGTGTTGTGCTTAAATTAAACTTATATATTGGATTGTGTAAAGGAGTAGAATTACTGTAACTTGAAGGTTTTAATGTTAGGTGGCATTTTGACATATCATTTCTAAGACGTTTTGAATGTTATAAATATTAGCATTTCAGTTAAGGTGTGTCAAACTTTTATTTGTGTAAGAACTGAGAATTTTTTTTTTCTATTGAAGGAGTAAAAGGGGGATGATAAAACCCCCAGTATCTTTCCTTTTAACTGTTGTCATATTAATGTTAATTACTAGCATATGGATAGGTATTGTGTAATTTACTGTATTTATGAATGCATATTTTAACATATCCCAAATTTTGAGGAAAGTATATTGTATTATCATAAGCAAGTGTGTTTTACGCAACTGAATTTAAAGCTTTTCAGAGGATAATATTATTTGTAGTTTCATACGTCCTCAAGTAGACAATTTTTGTTTTTATTTTTGAATGCATAATGTGCATATTATAGTGTAAACTGTCTTGTTTTGTCTAACATCTGTAAAATAGGTTATGAAAAAAATTATAAATTTTAATTTTTACTCTCTCCTGTGAAAATGATATCTGTTTAAATCAATTGTATGTATCTGTAGTGTGAGGGAGCTAAAATTGTTAGGATCATAATTTTGGTTATATCATGGCATTCTTAGCAAAAGTTAGGAAAGAGGATCTTAAATCCTTGGCTGAAGAGTTAGGGGAAAAAGTTAGCCCTGAACTTAGGATATTGGATTTAAGGCAGCTGATTATGGGAAAATAATCCTATGAGGAGGAATAGTGAAAGGCCTGTTAGAAAATATCACGTCAACGAGGCTTGAGAGAGAAAAAAAGGAGCAGGAGAGAATTAGGAAGGAAGAAGAAGAGAGGCAGGATAGAATTAGAAGAGAAGAAATGGAATTTGAATTATCCAAGTTACGTTTACTAGCCGCTAACGGAAATGACTCTGGAAATGGTGGGAATGAAGAAAATGGACTAAAAAATAACTGATACGATCTAAAAAAAAATTATGTCAAAATTTGATCCTGAAGAGAACGATATCAGTTTGTATCTAGCCATGTTTGAGCACCAAGCAAAGCGTGCGAATCTCCACCAATCAGAATGGGTTTCGGTTTTATTGACAATTTTGCCAACTGACATAGTTCAGCTGATTATGCGAGAACCAGAACAGCAGGCTTATGATTACGCTTATGTAAAAGGGATACTGCTTAAAAGGTTCAAACTTAGTCCAGAAAAATTTCGCATCAAATTCGTGCAATCTCAGAAACACCCCCAAACCACTTGGAGAGATTTTGCCTTTGAATTAAGGAATTATTTTGAAGAATGGATTGCAGGTTTGGAAGTTACGGGTTTTGAACTTTTAAAGGATCTCATGATAACGGACCAAATAAAGCGTCGTGTAAATGCCGAAGTGCAGCAACATTTTATTGACAAATGGTCGAAGATAACGACTCCAGGGAAATTAGCGGAAATGCTAGAAGAATATGAAAATGTGCGTGAACCCCGGAAGAAGATCTCTCCTGTTCATAGTTCGGAGTCACAAAGGGGAAATACAAATAATTTACATTTGAGGGATCCGCAAAGGTATCATCAGTCCGGAGGGAAAACGAGATATGCACCCGAGAAAAAAGAAACTTTCAGAAATCAGAAAGAACGCCAATTTGATGTTCGTAAACCCCTTAAGTGTTATTCCTGCGGTTCCACCGAACACTTAAGGCCTCACTGCCCGAAAGTTCAAAAAGATTCCAAATTGCCAGCTGTAGTACTAGGGTACAGGAAACTGAAGAAGATTTTTTAGCCCCGTACACAACAATGGCTAAGGTGAATGGATTCGATTTACCTGTATTACGGGATTCGGGAGCATCTATAGATGTAATTTGCAACAAATACATCACTCCTTCGATGCTGACGGGCGAAACGGTTTGGGTCAAACATCCGTTTGATGCGGCCCCAATTTGTTTACCCTTAGCACACGTCAAATTAGAAGGGGAGTTTGGTCAAGTGACGACAAAGGCAGCGGTCATTTGAAACGACTTAGATCAAGGCCGATATCTCCTGGGGAATAGGATGGCTACAAAATTACAAGCAGACCAACTGGATAGAATTTTCTTCCGAGTAAACGCGGTGAAGACCCAGGCTCAGAAACTCCGCCAAGCAAAGAACGAAATCAGCGAAAGTTTTCGGCAAGAGTCGGAAGCCAAACCCCTGGGCGAAGAGGAAGTCCCAACAAAGGGAATGGAGGAGACCAATTTCTCCCTGCCTGAAACAGAGGTGAACGACCTGACACTGCTCACTATAGACAAAACGCAGTTGTCGGATCTACAGAAGAAAAGTACGGATTTAAAACCACTTTTCGACCTGGCTGCATCAGACGATCAAAATAACTCTACGAAAAACGTTTACAAATTAAAAGATGGACTGTTATATAAATATCAGGAAGACCGGATAGGAAATGTGAGAAATTACTGGTCGTTCCCGAAACTTGTCGGGCAAAAGTGCTACGTTTATGCCATGAGCAGGTCTCAGGACATCTAGGCGTAACAAAGTCGAAAGACCATCTCGCGAGGTATTTTTTTTTTGGCCGAAATGTTACCAAGACATGGAAAACTATATTTGAACTTGTGACCCTTGTGAAAGGGTGGGGAAGACTAACGACCGAAAGAAAGCACCTCTAAAATTAGTACCTGTGATATCAGAAGTATTCTCAAAGATAAACATAGATACATGTGGTCCTTTGCCCACCACGCCTAGGGGAAAGAAATATATCTTGACCACACTCTGTTTATCTTCCAAATATCCGGAAGCAATTCCTATAGAAGACATCACTTCCCTTTCGATAGTGGATGCTTTGATGCAACTTTTCAGCCGGATGGGGTTTCCTAAAGAAGTCCAGTGCGATCAAGGGACGTCTTTTATGAGTAACTTAACAACGGAATTTTTTGAACGTTTTGGAATTAAAGTCAGCCATAGTTTGGTCCACCACCCCCAGTCCAATCTGATAGAAAGATTTCATCGCACCATAAAAAGAATTCTGCGAGTTTTATGTTTAGAGGCTGGTTCGGATTGGGAGCAAATTTTACCCTCGGCCCTTCTGACCTTAAGAACAGTGACACATGAAAGCACAGGGTTCACTCCTGCGGAATTAGTCCACGGAAAACATTTGCGAACTCCAGACGAACATTGGACAAATAATCAAGAGGAAGAACAACCGGTGATTGAGTACATTTTTAAACTTATAAATCGCCTGAAGAAATGCCAAGAGTTGGCAGTTGAGAAAATGCAAGACCAGCAACTCAAAAGGAAGAAATGGTACGATAAAAATTCCATAAAAAGAGAATTTAAAGAAGGTGATCTAGTCTTAATTTTGGCTACTTCCAAAGCAAACAAACTTTCGGCTCATTGGACGGGACCGGGGAAAATTGAAAGTAAAATGTTGGAAACCAACTACATTGTGGCTTTACCGGGGAAGAAAGAGAAATCCCAAATTTATCATATCAATATGTTGAAACCCTACTATCAAAGACCTGAGGCAATTAATTATTTGTCATGTAGCAGAAATGGTTCTGACCAAATTGATACGGAAATAGATTTTCCCTATATAGACACTGATCCAAATGTTTACGATTATTCTGAAGTCATTAAAAATAGTAAATTGGAAGAATTGTTAGAACCCTTGCAAAGAGACCAATTACAAAAATTATTGAATAAATTTTCGGGGAGCTTTTCTAATGCACCGGGCATGACAGACCTCGTAGAACACGACATTGAAGTTATCAGTGATAAGCCAGTAAGATCCAAGCCGTATCGTATGTCACATCGACAAAATGAAATTTTAAAAAAGAGAAATTCAGCGAATGCTTGACCTAAAAATTATTGAGGTGGGAGAATCTGATTACACTTCGCCGATGATTCTCGTGGAAGCTCCAAATAAAGATCCCGTCCTTGCGTGGATTACCAGACGCTTAAACGAAGGTTACCCGAACCCAAGTATTATCCCTTTACCCAACATAGAAGAACGGGTGGAAGGAAGTTGCTTCAGCAAAATATATCTCGGTTTATAAGACTTAGCTAAGGGATATTGGCAGATACCCATTGAGCCCTAATGCTCAAAGATATGCTGCCTTCGTGACAAGTTTCGGCACTTACAGACCCTTACGGTTAAGTTTTGGCTTAAAAAAATGCTCCATATTTCTTTTCCAAAATGATGCAAAATACTTAAAGGATGTGAGGAATTTACAGTTCCGTACCTCGATGATGTAGCGATTTTTCCAAAGACCTGGGAAAGCCATCTTAAGCATCTGGAAATAGTACTAAAACGTATAAATAAAGCAAAACTTACCATCAAACCTTCGAAAGTGTCGTTTTGCGCAAAAACATGTCCTTTACTTGGGCCATATTGTAGGTCCAAGGTTAACGGAAACCGTCGGATGTAAAAACTAAGGCTATAAAAAGATTTCCCCACTCCCAAAACTAAAACGGATATAATGGTATTTTTAGGTTTAGTGGGCTACTATAGCCGTTATATTCCAATGTATTCAGCAATCGCAGCTCCGCTGACGGATCTTTTAAAAGGGAAAACTGTAAAGGGTGATATTCTGTGGAATGCAGACTGTGAGAGGTCGTTTCACTGATCTGAAAAAAAAAAAAAACTAACAAATAGCCAATTACCCAGTTTTGTATGCACCCTGATTTTAGTCTTCCTTTTAATTCTCCAGACCGACGCATCGGATCAAAGGAATGGGTGTTGTCCTAGCCCAACTCTCTAACAAGGAAGAGGAGCATCCGATTATTTTTCTCAGCAAGAACTTTTCAGAGGTAGAGATAAAATGACCTGCACTACCGAAAAGGCAATGTGCCAGCATTGTTTTCGGTATCAAGAAACTTCACTATTATCTAGACGGACAAGACTTTACTGTGCAAATGGATCATAACCCGCTCACTTGGTTACAGACTAATGCCAATTAATAACCCTCGCTTAATGTGTTGGGCCGCTAGCTCTTCAGCCATATAATTTCATCAATTGTTCACCGTTCAGGGAAACTCAATAAGAATGCCTGATGCTGCGTTAAGCCGGAGGGCTTGAGAACCCATTTCTCTATATTTCCGTTACTAGTCATAAACTTGTGTTTTTTTTTTTTTTTTTTTTTTGTATAATTTTTTTTTCCATTTAAATCCGTTTTTAGTACATTTTCAGAAAACTATAACGTTGTTATTGTATATGAATAATTAAGATTATTTCTTAGTATTTGTGTGTTTATATGTTTTTTTTTTACTGGCCTCAATATAAGTTCTCTGTTGTATTATTCCTTGCTACTCAAGCCCAGCATTGCTGGAAAAAAAAATATTAATGCTAATAACTGCATTAATTAGTGTTTACTTTTTGACTTTGAAAGCTTGCTGTGGTAAAATAGCTACGAGGAATTGGAGTTCTTAGCCCCACCCTCCTTAGGGAGGAGTTGTGACGATACAGCTACTAGCATCCCCCCGTCGGGCACAGGTGCTGAATTATAACTTCCTGTTTTGTTCGCGGACGAAATGGACCATACCTGCAAAAGCAGGACTGCAGAAATAAAACCCCCTGGGAGTTTCCGGACGCAAGGAACTAATTATGTTTCTCTTCGCAGATAACAAAACGAGTGAAATCTTTGTGTAAGAGATCTTCATGTGATTTTGAGGTGACAGGACGCATCTTTTACGTTCTAAACCACGGCAGTGGTTTGCGTAGAACAATAGTTTTTTTATGCTGTAACTACAGTAAAAAGGACGCTTTTTTGCGTCCAATCTGTGTTAGCGGATATTGTATGATTTAGGGCTGTAATGATCAGTTATTTTTATGTTTTAATCAAGAAATCTATTTTAGTTTATCAAATAAATAATTTAAAAGACAACCTGTCTTTCTTTCACCCGACACGACTGTTAGGAGGTGTTTTGTTCAATACAAATTTTTTCCAAAAGGGAGAGATTTCAGTCAAAGAATGTTACAGAATTTGCAGTGTTCAAAGATCAGTAGCAGACATAAATACTTGCACATAGTGAATTTATAAATTTATTTGCACAAATTAAAAGTGATGAATATTTCTAAACAAATGAATATTTTATGTGATTATTAGATTATAATCCTAAAATTATATATGTACTTTAGTATACTAAACCACATATGAATGTTATTAATGCATTTTTAGCATTTAAAAACTTACTAAAAATGCACAACAAAATTATAAATTACATTACACACTGGTAAATTATAAAGTAATATTAGTAAATGTCATTAAAGGAGAAATTACGAAATTTTAGTTATTCTAATTTACTTTTTAACTAAGAAGGCAAAAATCCCAAATTTTGCGATTAGACATCCTTGATCAATTTTCATTGCACAAAAATCATGTCAAACTCTTTATGCTTTATTTGTTAATAATAAATATGAAATGTTTCTAATTACAATTATATGGACAAGGGAACTATTTTAGAATTTTTACAAAACTTAATTTTTTTAATTTAAAAATGCTAAAACATGAATATTTGCATCACTTAAAAACATGTTTGTAGTCAGAAGTACTATATGTCTACAACCAGTGTTTGAGGAAATAAAGGCTGCATAAAGGACTTATGGACACGATGTGTGTATCAATCAAAGGAAAATAATTTATAATTTAAAAATTTCCGTATTGCTTCTAAGGTAAAAATCATGGACTAAAATTCATAAAAGCCATCAAATTCATTACAATAGACTTCCTTGTAAATGGAACTAAATTACTAAAATTTAACAAGCCTTAAATCTGCATAGGTTGAAGTAAAATACCACATGGCAATATTATGTATTTAATTAAAAATCAATGTTATTTAAATTGTAAAAACATATAATCAATTTTTTTTTTATGTACAACTGCCCTTTTTTGGACATACAATCATTTTCAGTGATTTGACAGCTTCT